TTCGACTAACCTGTAAAGAGCTTTAATTTTCAACATCGCATTCTGGAGAGGAAGGAGGGTCCCCTCTCCTCCTTAGTCAGGGTAAACCCTGTTGCCACATGCCCCCACGGCAGCCTGTGCTTCTCCTTCCTGACCACTCTCCGTGTTGTCCTGCCCAGTGTAAGGGCTGCCTTCCAGCAGTCGGAAGCCTGTGACAGCAAGACCAGATAATCAGGGCTTGGCACAGAGCCCGGCACCTGGGATGTATTAAAAAATATTCATTGCTTCCAGTGAATTGCAATTGTTTCTACCTCATCAGAAAGAGAAAAAACCTTGGCACGGAAGTAGGGAAGTGAGCTTTCCAAGCCTCAAGGCCAGACCTGGCATGCAGGCTGGACCGCTCTCTACCCTGGGGTCCCGGGGAGCTGTCTCCGTGGCTTACTTCCCTCCAGGGCATGGCTATGATGAATGTGGGCACCGTTTTTTTGTATTATCTAGGCTTTTATTTATTCTAAATGGGCACAAAGATGGGACTCTCATAAGAAAAAACACCGTTTTTGGGGAGTGAAAAGTGGATGTTTTTAAAAATTATTGTCCCAACTTTTTAATTTGAAAATTTTCAAATCTATAGAAAATTTGCAGTAATGGACAATAAAGACCCACCTATACTTCATGTAAATTTATCATTTGCTAACATTTTGCACAGTGGCCCACTTTCTCATTTTCCCTGTATACGTGTGTGTGTGTATGTCCTTTCGTATATAAACACAATACTCTATACATATACATATATACATACACTCACTTTTTGCTGAACTATTTAAGAGTCAGCTGTGGACTATTATTGCATTGTACCCATGAACACTTGAGCACGTGCCCCCCTAAGAATAAGAGCATTCTCCTACACAAATATAGCGTGATTATCACAATCTCACAATACTATTAGTTAATATACATCCATATTCAAATTTCCCCAGTTAGCTCAATTCTGTCCTTTATATCTGTTTTTTGTAAATCCAGGATCCTATCGAGAATAATGAGTTATATTTTGTTGCTTCTTTAATCTCCTTTAATCTGGAACAGTTTGCACACTGCTTTAGCTTTCATGATATTGACAGTTTTGAAGAGCCCGGGTCAGCTGTTTTGTAGAATGGTCCTGATATGGATTTGTCTGATTGTTTCTTCACAGTTAGATTCAGATTAAATTTTTTTTTTTTCTGGAGCAAGCATACAACTTGTGTAATGCTGTGGGTACGGATCCATTCCAGTTCCCTCATTTCAGATGTCCTGGGCCTTAAGGACATGTGCCAGGTCCCCAAGACCCCTAGGGCTGGCACTGGGGAGATCTAGGAGCCATCAGGTCTTGGCTGCCATCTGCAGGGCCCTCCTGCTGGGCAACCCAGGCCGAGGTGAGAACTTCTCCTCCCCACCAGGAGCTCCAGGTGGCCAGTGGCCAGCCGGCTTCTCGGCCAGTGGGTCACCTGTTGCTGCGGTCACTCTCTGTTGCGGCAGCTGCAAGGGGAACAAGAGAGGGCTGACAGGGTGGCCATGCCAGTGCGATCCTGCTGGAGAGAAGGGACAGCAAGGGGACAGTGGCACAGCGACAGGGGGAACCAGAATAAAAGAGGGACTGAAAGGGGGAGAGAAGGAGGGAAAAGCAAAGAGTGAGAGACACAAAAACAAACAGAGAGACTCAGACTCTTTTTCCCAAAACAGAAAAAGAAGCATCAGCGGACATGCTTTACTAACACTACCAATCTGACGCTCTTTGGCTTTGAGATTTTAGAAAGTGAAGAGTTTGTGTCTATGCTGGTCAGACTCAGAGGGCACAAGGGTTTCTCCCAAGGGGCCATGTGGGGTCACCTGCACAGTTAGTACTTTTCCAAACTCCACTTCTCCTTGGTGCCCAAAATCCAGGCCCTGCGCCAGAAGTATCCTGCTCTTTTATCACGGGACTGTCAGCAAAGACGGAAGCCTCCATGTGACCCATCTGGTGGGTAGGGGAGGAGTGGGAGAGAAGCAGACAGAAAGGAGGACCCAGAGAAAAGAAGGGCACTAGAAATAGCCTTCCCTCTGGGAGTGGGAAGGAATCCAAAATCCCAGCAGCTGCCCAGCGGGGGTGACCTTAGCTCATACTAACAGGCCAGGGTTTTCTCACAAGAAAAGGGACTTGGTGTGGAGGGGTGGGAGGGAGTGTACATAAAGAGAAGATGCTTGGCTCTGGACTCAGTGGGATAGAGAGGGGAGGATCTAACCCACGGTCCTGCCAGGGTGAAACTCCTCCAGATGCTAATGGGGAAGGGCTGCCAGTAGAGGAACTCAGTGTGCACGGAGAGGGCTTTCTGGCAATAATGTGCACTGTCTGTATTTTTCTTTGGCAGGGGGAGAAGAAAATGGAAAGAGTGCAATCAGGAGTCATAACCTCAGATGCAGGGCCCACGGAGAGCCCCAGTGAAGAAGCCCTTTTCTGCCCTCTGCCCTTGGTCAAAAGATCAAGCCCCAGGACCGCATCTTACTGAGGAGGTTGAGGGGTGTTAAGGGGCGGGAAAGGACATCCTGAAAACTCTCCAGCCATTCCCGCTGCTCTTTCTCGCTGGGGCAGGTGAAGATGAATCTCCGCTGAGGGGTGACGATGGTGAGGCCGGCCTTCCAGCGATTCCCTCGGGTGCCCTTGGGCAGGTCTTCATATACCTCATACCCCTGTTCATTGCTCCCGAGAAAGACCTGGCCCTGTTCAAAGGCATCCTGAAAATAGAGGACACATGGTTACCAGAGGCCACACCTGGGGCAGAGGGGCACCTGCAGCCCTGACAGCCCCCAAGCTCTATTTTTGAAAAGGGATGTGTGGGGAGAGGATGGGAGTAGGGTATGGGGTTCTGCTGGGGATTTCCTCTAGGTGGGACCCAGAAGCTGAAAGGCTAAAACCATAAAATAATCATACCGGTCCTCTGCTAAAATGATGCTTCACATTTGTGGAGCACTTATTATGCACCAGGAATTCAAGTGCTTTACATGTAGTAACTCATAGACTCCTCACAGCAACCTCTGAGGAAGCCACTGTTATCATGCCTATTTTCCGGAGGAGAAAACTGAGGCACAGAGAGCTAAGCAGTCTGTCCAGGGCACACAACTAAAAGTGGCAGGGCTGAAAGTGGAGCCCAGACAGCTGAGCTCTACAGCTCACACTACTCATCACTCCACTCCAGACTCCCAGTTAGAAGGGAGTCCAGGAGACTGGAGGACCAGGAACGTCTGTTTAATGACATTGGCAGCCTTTGGATACATGTAAAGGACCTCCTGAAAGGGAGGGGAGAGAATAGCTTCATGCACTGGAGACTACTTAGAGACAGGCCAAGGAGGAGCTACGTCCCCTATGCCAGGTTTCTCCAGCCTTGTAGCCTCTCCATGGTCCTTGACCAGCACTGCCGCCAACTCCATCTGAGGGTGCACGGGGAGGGGCTGACAGTGGCTCTTACCAGTGGGTTCTTGTAATAGAGCAGCCTCCGCTCCTGGGGATCCAAGGCAAACCATCTTTTCTTGAAAGGTTCTCTCTGCTGCAAAAGAGGAAACCTGTACCAGGGTCGGCCACGCCACGGAGCAGAGGTCACAGGCCCAGCCTGGGCTAGGCCACTGGAGCCAGGCACTGTCCTGCACAGTAGTCAGACCCCCCAGGATTCCTCCCTGAGGTGTCAGAGCTTTGAAGGCTCTGCCTGCCCCCTACCGCCCTACTGCCGCGCATCACCCTGCTGCCTCCAGGCACTGCTGTAAGGGGCCTTTCCTCTTCTCAGGCTGTAGACAAGAAGTCTCAGAGAAAGGAAGTTGGAGAAACCAGAAGTGGCTACTGCTCAGCAATGCAGAAGGCGCCGCCCCACAGAACTGTAACCAAGGTCAGGGGAAAGCAAGCCCCAGGCGGGAACCACAGGGAAGGGCTGTGCCGCTGGCTGGTAAAGGAGGAAAACAAAATGCGCAACCCTTTGACTAGTTTTCAGGCTGTCCCAGGCCTCCTTCCACACTGATTGCCTAACGCCTTTCACTGTGATCTTAGCCATCTGCTAAACACATAAACACCATAAAAAAAAAGCATGGGGTGCAGTGCTTTGGGAGTTGTTCAGGCCTTAGGGTGCTCCCTGTGCTGTTCCTGCCTCCCCTTCTGCCCTCACGACCACCCGGATCCGCTCCAGCCTCGCCTGCCCAGCATCTGGGCTGAGATGTCCTGGGCAGCAGGTGCCTCGCCTCCACCCTGCTGGAGGCTGCGGGAGGCACCCAAGTCTTCCCTTCCCCACAGATAAGCAGGAATGAGCAACCCTGGGGCTGGGGCAGGTTTAGCAAAGGAGAGCAGAGGCCCAGGTGGAGGGAGAGATGCATGCCGGGGAAGGGCATGCCCGGTGGGCCGCGCTGGCTCCTGTGCCAGGTGTGTAGGTATGTTTTCTTAGACCAGTTGCTAGCCCATCTCACTTGGATGGTCTTGGCAGGCCCCCAGCACACAGAGCACACAGGGGTTCTGGGGAGAGAAAAGCTGTCCCCAAGGGAGGCCTTCTTCACCTCTGCTTCCCAGGAGTAGGATGGAAGTCAGTTAGAGGCAGTTAAGAGTGCAGAAGCCAACGGTGATGCTAAGAGGGAGATGCATGGTGACCCAGAGAAACCCCAGCAGCCCTGGTCACACACCTGCTAACTGGGCCCTCCCCAGCCTTCACCCCAGGAACTCACACACACTGGTTTACTTCCCTTCCATCTTCCCACCCGCCACTTCCCCATTTTCCTCCCTCCCAAATTCTGCCCCACAGCCCACTGGGACAGGGGCCACCTAAGTCCTGCAGGGAGCGGTGGAACATACCCTTGGGCCAGTCTTCTCCATGAAGCCTTGTTTGAGGTAGTTCCTGGTGATGAGAGGCGCGAGCTGGAGGGAACAGAGACATATGCTGATCCCCTGACTCACACCCCAGGGGCCCAGAGTTCCCGCTGAACTTAGCTCCGCGATAAAGGGGAAGTTGGGAATGGGGAAGGATGTGTGCTCTTGGTCCACAAGGTTATATTTGGAATCTGGTATGGATGTAATATTAATATTTCAACAGAGCCAGACGACAGCACCCCAGATGTCTGCAGAGCTTCTCAGCATGGCAAATCTTCAAGACCTAGTCTAGGACTCCTTCAGGAACCACAGGAGGTGACACCGAGGAGACCCTACTGGTGTCGGGGGCATATTCTGAAAGTCTACTGTGTGTCAGGCTCTGGGTACAATTCTTAGTCGCCCTGTGAGGTGGATATTATCATCCTTGTTGAGTTTGTGCAGAAACCAGGCCTCAGAGAGGTGGTTAGGATTTTTCCCCATGTCATGTTGCTGGTGGGATGAAGAGATGGGCTTCACACCTGGGGCTGATGGGCAGCAGGCAGACAGTGTTCCTACCACTACACCATGGTGCTAAAGCATAAACGTGCCAGAGCCCTCGATCAGACCTGGTTGTGGGTGGGCATTCTGACACAGGGCCACAGGATGTGGAGACAGAGTGGGCAACTAGAGATAGGGGACCTGAGTTCAAGCTCCAGGTCTGACCTCAACCAGCTGTGTTACCTTGGTAAGACCTTCCCTCTCTGGGCCTCTTTCCCTAGCATAATGTGGAGACCAGATTATGTGGTCTCCAGGATCCCTTCCAGCTTGCCATCTATGCTGAGAAGTTGGCAGGGATTGATGCTGGCTTCAATCCAGGGACCAAGCCTGCAAGTCCAGAGCTTCAAATGACAGCCCAGGCTCCTGCGAGCAGGGGTTTTCCCGAGCTCCAGGCCCAGGGCAGGGGCAAAGGGGAGTAGGAGTGGGAAGTCTGAAAGGGGCCCAAAATGAACACATATGCTATACCACTCCCTCTTCCCTAACATACATTCTGTTGGCTCCAGTTCCTTCATTTGGAGAAAAGACAAGAGTCTCAAACTGCTCAATAGTCAGCCTGAGCCAGGGCAGGGCTGATCTAGGCCCAGGGAAACACTTAGAAGAAGGAAAACCACATGGCGGGAGGCTACTTACTGAACCACAGATGCCTGGGCTCACTTGATTCTCACGATAGCCCTGGAAGGTAGGTATTGTCCCCAGAGTGACAGATGAGTAAACTGAGGCTCAGAGAGGTAAGATGGCTTGCCCTAAGTAACACAGCAGCTTCTCTGACTTCAGAGTCCATGCATGTCTTAGAACAGGACCACAACTGCTCAGGTTTCTGGAATCTGGATCCCTACACATGAGCCAGGCCTGGATGATTGCCCAGAACCTCACATCATGCAGAGACACAGGGGGAGGAAAGACAGAGGCAGGTGGGGAGGAGATTGCGGGTAGATAACCGCTGACGATGGAGGATGAGGGAGGCAAGAGGATACTGAGGACTTTGGCCAGTTTCTTCTGCAGGAGTCAGCAAAGTTGGAGAGTGGGCCCAGATAAACACAGCCTAGTCTGCACTTTGTCCTCTGGGCCCTCCAGTCAGCAGTCCGTACTCCCAAAGCCCTGCCCACAGGGGAGTTCTGGCTGCTGACTCTGCAGGCCTGGAGGGCTCTGGCCCAGGCCTGGCTGGAACTGTTTCAGAGAGTGGCCATATTGGTACACTGCTCAGCCTGGAGAGGACCCCTGTTCTACACACTTAGCTCCCTGTAAACCTTGGAATTAAGGAACAATTAGATTTCAAGGAGGATCTAAGAGTTTGGAATAAGGAAATCCCAGGATTAACATGGTCTGTCCACCTACCTCCAATACTCACAAAAGTCTCTTAGAGCAGGGTCTAAAACAGTCACCCGGCCATAGCTAGAAGGGACCCTGAGATGACCCAGACTAACTGCCACCTTACAGGTATGAACACAGATGCCCAGAGAGGTGGTGTGACCTGCAGCAGTCCCACAGCTTGTCATCAACAGAGCATCCACAAGAGCCCAAGCCAGCTGGCTGGGGGCAGTGTCTTCTGCCCCTCATTATGATGGCTTCCCTAGACAAGCCAAGAGGTGTAGATGGATACCCCAGATGTCTGAGGACGATCAAAAGGAAGTGCTCAGGTTCACCATTACCTTGGCCATGAAAGGTAGCCTGTTCCTGGTAGAACTGTAACAGGGAAGATCCTTTTGCCTTCCCGAAACCAGAGCACAAAAGCACAAAGGGAGGGCAGGGTGAGCAGAGCCCCTTTGGTTATTCTCTTGACCTCCCTGGGACTTGGTTTCTAGTCAGTAAAATGGGGATAACCACCCCTAACTGTCTGCTATGAGGGATTACTGGATAAAAGGGATTGCAAGATAAAATGGGCTCAAAAGCACTTCATAAGCAGTATGTTAGGGATCATTTGTACATTTTAGTGGGAGAAGGAGTCAGAGGGATGCCCAAATCCTGAGCCCTTGACACTGTGCATGGTGGCCGTGCACCCTGAAAGGCAAGAACCTGACCTACTTTTTGAAGGCGGCCTTGTCGTGTGGCCACAACCTCCCAGCCTCCCCAGGAGAGAGCCTTTGGTTTCCTCTGAGGTACCCCACACCTCTTCTCAAGGTCTAGCCCACAAACAAACCTAGGCTGGCCTCTGAGTGTTTTTTTAGGTCAATCAACAAGGAGAGAAGGAGGTGGCAGAGAGGAGACTCAGAAGTAGGGGTCCACATTTAGCTCACCTCAGACTCTGGTTGCTCAGGAAAGGCCATTTTTAGGTACTGCAGACGGGCTGCACGGAGGGCATTGAACCAGTCCACTATCTCCTGCAGAGAGAATTGCAAAGGACAAATGGCAGGCAGAGAGATGGAGGACGGGGAGCTGAGTCCGGTGACAGGAAGCTAGCTAGTTTGGGCACATTCATTCAGCACATGCGCACACCCCATGCTTCCCTCGGGCCTGTGGGCTGACCCCAGGCACCTGGGAGGATGAGGCCAGAGCCCAGGGCCTCACCGAGCAAGCGCACAGCCCCTGGTAAATTGCAGATGTGGAATCACTGGGTTTGGGGTGGGGCCTGATTCTGTATCCTAACAAGCTCTGTATCCCTAACAAGCTCTCGGGTGCTGTGATGCCTGCCAATGGGACCCACTTCACGGAGCAAGGGTCCTCAGACGTCAGAGACCAGCTTTCAGGTGGGCAGGTGCACCCAGGATGCTCCTGCACAGCAGTGCTCATTGCTTGGAGTGCAGTTTAGGCCAAAGCTGGCTTGGACCTTCTACTGTTGCTCTGGGAGAGTGCACCCCTCATCTTTCCCTTGGTGAGCCATGCATCTAGCTGGGTCTGCTTCTCTCCAATCAGTCCTCCCCACGGCATCAGAGTGATTTCCTAATTGCAAATCTAAATGAGTCTAGCTTAAAGAAATTCTTTTCCACTACCCTCAGGAGAAAAGTCTAAATTCTTTAGGGTGACTTTCTCTGCTCTCTGAACTCCTTCCACACAAAACCATTTGCAACACCCCCCATCTGACCCCCCAGTACATGCTGTTTCCTCCTCCTGGAACACTGCCTCACCCACCTGTCTCCCTTCACCTCACAAATATCTTCTACCTAGGACATGCTACTCATCCCGGAGGCTAATTTAGATGCTGTCAGAGATTTTTGCTCAGCCCAACCCCTGCTTCTGTGAGAACTGCCCCACCCAATGTCACCTGCCCATCCCTCACCCAGAACTGCAGTCCCCTTGGCTGTGATCCGCCCCCTTCTTGGCCATGGTAGCTGGGCCAGGGCTGGACCAATGCAGAGGCTGGACTGGGCTTTTCAGATTCTTCCTCCTAGGAATCTGGAACCGGGGAGGCTAAAAGACTTGTTCAAGTAGCTGCAGGGCTGCTCTTTGATGTAATAGGGCCACTGAGAAATTCATTTGAATATAGTTATAAAACAATGAAACGTAATTACCCTTTCTCTCTCACAGGTCATGTACAGCCTAGCATTCAGAGTCCTGGGCCCTGTCCTGGGAATTAATAACCTTCTCGGGTCTCAGGCACTAAGGAAAAGGGGCCATCCCAGAAAAGACCCATCCAGGCCTCCACTTTGGGCACTTTTTGGGGACCCTGAGGCCAAATCCAACCTGCATCCATGTTTGTTTGGCTCCTGAAGTTTTGTTTGTTTCAATTCTTTCTACAGGTTTTCCTGTTGGCCACAGCCTGATAGCTGCCCACGTCACTTTGAAATGACCTATCTGGCTCCTACACACATGAGCTTGCAGTCCTGCATTTATGCCTGCTGGGGCATCACGGGTAAGAGGAGGACGGCCAGGTCCAGGTTATCAGATGCTCCACAACTGGGCAAATGGCAGCATCCAGTACCCTTAGTGTCAGAGCCCCTGGGCACCTCAGCAAAAGCCCTTGTGCCAATGACTGGCATAGGGAACAGCCACAGGGATCCAGCCGAACAGGCCTTGGGGCAACAGCAGAGCCCACTGGGGACTGAGAGCCAGGGATCTCCTCTGAGTTGTCCAGACCGCACAAGCTTTACCAAGATTCTGGTAAAACCGAGGGAGGGAGTCAAGAAACACTAAATTTCTTTAGACCAATACTAAATTTCTTGCCAATCTGGGGAATGGCGTCCTTGAATTTAGAGAAGTGGGACACTTACTTGCACCCCTGGTGTTCTCTCTCTCTCTCTCACACACACACACACATACCCTACAGTTTCTGACTCTAATCCTTCAGGAGGCCCAGCCATATTTCTTGCCCTTAGAAGAAATACCCCTGTATCTCTCCCATTCTTGCCCCTTTCCACCGGTTTGCATGTCCTTTTCAGCATATTTCATAATTTTGAAACAAAAACTCCTTCCTCTGGAAAGCCTTTGTTTTTGGTATCATTAATCTTTTACATGAGGAACGTTATATTTACTAGTCTCCCCCCTTCACCAAGTCTCTGCCACAAAGCCCATTACAGTCACTGTCCATCAGCGTAGTAAGAGGCTATAGAATCCCTACTTGTCTTCTCTGTGTTGCACAGCCCTCCCCATGCACCCCTCCAACATTATACATGCTAATTGTAATGCCCCCTTTCTTTTTCCCCGCCTTTACCCCGCCCTTCTCACCCATCCTCCCCAGTCCCTTTCCCTTTGGTAACTGTTAGTCCATTGTTGGGTTCTGTGAGTCTGCTGCTGTTTTATTCCTTCAGTTTTTTTCTTTGTTCTTATACTCCACATATGAGTGAAATCATTTGGTACTTGTCTTTCTCTGCCTGGCTTATTTCGCTGAGCATAATACCCTCTAGCTCCATGGAAAGCCTTTTGACGAGCCCCCACACCCCCAGACTAGGCCACTTATGTGTCTGGTGCATGGCCCCGCCCCATCACAGGGCTCAGTGCCTATTTCCTCATCTGTCTCCTTGTAGAGACTGTGAGCCCTTGAGGCCTACCCACGGCTCTGCCCCATGCACTCCCACACACTCCAGAACTTGCACAGGACTGACTGAACGAGTGAATTCATGAAGGAATAAGTGATACAGATAGGAAATTGCTCACAAGATTTTACCTTTTACATCTGCCACAATCATGAGCAGAGAACAGTAGTGGCTGATGTTTGTAGAACACTTCAGGGTAAGGAAATGCTTTCACATTCCTGCCTCCTGGTGTCTCAACCCTCAACCCCTCTGGGAGGTGGGCATTCTAATCCATAAACAAGCAGCCTTAGGAAGGACAGGACCTGCCCAGTAACACAACTAGAAGTGGCTCCAGTTTCTGACTCCAAATCCCCGCGCATCTGACCACATTCCCTGGAGCTCTGCCTGGACTATGGAGAAAGCATGAAGCCTGCTGGGAGGACGGCCCAGGGTCACCATCCTGGTGCTAGGGCCCCTGGGGGATATCTGGCCTCTGTATCAGGCTCCTGGCTCCTGCCGCCAAGGGTTCTTCCTCCAGCACAGGCACAGGAGGGTAAGTGGGTGAAGGGCTCAGCAACCATTGGCTCTGTGACCCTGTGTAAGTTACTTAATATGTCCATGCCTCAGTAAAAAGGAGATAAAACATTTCCAGGGTTGTTTTGAGGATTAGGCAATGATGCATAGTGATCACCAAGGACAGTGCCTGGCACAGAATTAATAGATGCTTGTAGAAGGTTAGCTCCCTCCTTCATGGGCCGCCCCACCCCTCACTAAGCATCTCTGTCCCTTGCCCAGTCACATGACTCTGTTCATTCTGATCCAGCTTATTCTTTTGGACCTGGACTACTGGCTGCTCTTCTCTGACCAAGCTGATTTTCTGGACCCTTAAGCAGTGCCTCTCAACTTTACTGTGCATAAGGATCCCCTGAGGATATTGTTAAAATGCAGTTTCAGTAAGTCCAGGGTAGGCCTGAGACGCTAGTCCTAACAAGTTCCCAGGTGATGTTAACACCACTGATGCAGGACCATACATTGAGAAGCAAGGCCACAGAGTGTCCCACTGCCTGATCCATTCCTCCTCCCATATTCAGAATCTCTGGCCCTACCTGGATTTGCCCTCCCTGGGGCATAGTCCCTTTTGCAAACCAGATTCCCCTTGGTAGCTGCCCACTGTCCAGACACATCCTCGGTACCTGCCATGTTCTTCTCTCTGATCCCGCTCTGCCTTCCTCAAACCTGTCTACCTCAGATCAGAAAGTAACAATAGATTAAAGCAAACAGCAGCAGATAGTCTCAAGAGCAGCTGACCAAGGGAGTCGGTGAGCTGGGCCTGCGTGTCCTGGGGTGCAGGGCTGGAGGCTGGTGAACTCACCTTCCCACTCTCGTGATACACAAACAGGTTCCTGAGGTGGCCCTCTTTCCTGTAGGTGATCTGCAGCCCGTGGGGGTTCCCTATCTTCTCTGTTTGGAAGGTGGCATTCAAGTCCTTGATGCTGATGACAGATTTGGGGCCTTTACCCTGAAAGAGAGGAAGCAGACACTCAATATGCTGACAGCAGGCGGCGTCTCATCACCTTCGCCAAGGCCTCTTGCCAACAGATAACCAATGTGTTACTCTTCATGGGTCTTAAATGCTGTTGCTCTAACAGCAAGATGCACAGCAATTCAACGCCTCTTCTGTATCCAGCCATCCCACCATTCCGGCTGAATCAGACTGACCTCTCTGAACAGGAAGCGGGCTTGGAAAGCCCTTAATTCAGGATTTCTCAAGCTTTTTTTGAGGCAAATCGTCTATGGAAGCCAAACAAATAAAGCAAACCGATAACAGCTGGTGTGGGGACCTTGGTGTGTCCCCTCCCGCAGTCCACACTCTGTCCCCAGCAGAAGGGAGGGGAAGAGTGCTTTTCTTTCTAACCGATAGGAGAGAAAAATGATGCAAACTCTCAGACCTGTGGGAGTCACTAACCACATGTGGCTTACTAAAACTGAATTTAAATAAAATTAAGCCAGTTCCTTACTCACTCTTAGCCCCTTTTCAAGTGCTCAAGTAGCCACTGTGGCTAGTGGCTGGGGTACTGGACAGGGCAGACACAACATTTCCATCACTGAAGCAAGTTCTACCGGACAGTCTTCTCTAGAGGGAAAAGTGGTCATATTTAGTAAAAAGGTGAGTGTTTTGCTTTGACGCATGATTTCACATCTAAGAATCTAGCCCAAGGAATTAATTGTATCACTGTGAAAACATGTATGTCAAAAGATATTTATTGCTGTGTTGCTTATAATAATAGTAATGGGGGGCAGAGGAGGAGGAGGGGCATGAAGGGGGGAAGGGAAGAGAGGGGAAATGATTTAAATATTCCTTGGATGATAATGGATTAAAGAAATAAATCATTGTACATCCACATGATGAAATAGCACAAAATTTGTTAAAGGATAATTTGGATCAGTATTAGTAATATGAAAAAATATTCATGATATCTGTGAGTGAGAAAACCAAGCCTCAGAATAGGATGTATATAGGAACCTACTAATACAAAAATTATATACACATACACACAAAAATATATGTACATTATATATTTATATACATACACATATGATGTATATATATTTGAACATGCACAAAAGTATAGCCAGATTTACACCAGTACTCTTAATAATGGTTTCCTTGAGAGATTACTGGAAGGCTTTCCTTTTAAAATATTTACCAAGAGGAATACTAACAACACAGAAAAGTACATCTAACTTTGTCAATATTCTTCCTAAGATTTTAAAAAGGAAATTTGAAGTTACCAATAAATCAAAATCCTTTAACCACTATTCACTCCATCCCATTCTCCTCCACTCCCTATAGGCAATTATTGTCAGGAGTTTGGTATTTATTTTTCTAGTTCACTTTTTATACCTTTACACACATACACATACCTCTATGAACAACATGGTATTGTTTTATGTGGTTTTAATTCACATAAATGGTAGCATACTGTATATATCATTCTATATCTTGATGTTGTCACTCAACATTACATTTTTACATCATATTATTATTTTGTATGTTATAGTTCTATTCGTTTTGCAATAAATCAGTTTAGTTTTCTCTTGTAAATGGCCACACCAAGAGGTACCCGTCTATTTTCCTGTTCACAGACACTGAGACTGCTTCTGGTTTTTTGCTATCCTAGGTAATGCTACGGTCAGCTTGTGTCTCTGGCACACATATGTGAGATCTCTCCGGTCATAGTGTATACTGAAGAGTGGAATTGTTAGATCACAGGTGCGTGCATCTTCGACTTACTGGAAACTGCCCCCTTATGTTGCTGAAAGGCTCTCCACTGTGGCTGTACCAGTATTTACTTCACTATTGAAAACTGAATAGCATATTCAATAACATGATAAAAAGGAAGGATAAAGAGGAGTCGCCCTTGCCCCACGTCTTCAGCCCTGCTTGACGCCGCCAGATCTAAGCCTGTTTGCCAACATGATGAGCATGACATTGGATCTCATCAATTTTCATGTAATCAAATTTACTGAGGTATAATTGGGAAACAATAAATGGCACTCATTTTGAGTACAGCTTGAGTTTTGATAAATGTATATACCCATGTAAGCACCACCACAATCAGAATATAGAACATCAGTATCACTCCAGAAGAGTTCCCTCATGTCCCTTTGCAACTCCAATCCCACCTAACCACAGGCAATTACTTACCCCCTTTCTATTCATACACAGTAGTTCTGCCTGTCCTGGAACTTCGCATAAATGGAACTATTCAGTCATTCTGTATAGGACTTCTTTTGCTCAGAATAATATTTTTAGTTTCATCTACATTGTTGCATTTATTAGTAGTGTGTCCCTTTTTATTGCTGAGTAATATTCCATTCTATGGATATACTACAGTTTGTTCATTCAGTTGTGGATGGACATTTGGGTTCTTTTCAGGTTTTCATTACTATGAATATAACTTCTATGCAACATTTGTGTACAAAGCTTTTTGAGGAGTGAGTGGCTGGGTTATATGGTTATATGGTTAGAGTGTACCTAACTTTATTAAAAATTGCCAAATGGTTTTCCAAAGAGGTTGTTTCATTTTACAGTCTCACCAGCAATGTATGAGAGTTCTGGTTGCCCCACGTCCTTGCCAATACTTGGTATTGTTAGCCTTTTTAATTTCAGCCTTTCTGGTGGGTGTGAAGCAGATCTCACTGTGGTTTTAATTTGCATTTCCCTGACTGCCAGAGAGATTAAGAATCTCCTATATTTAACAGGCATTTGGGTTTCCTCTTCTGTGACTGGTTAGTCCATTTCCTTTGCCCATTTCCTTAATGGATTGTCTTTTTCTGCTTGCTTTGTAGGGTTTGGTTTTTTAAAAATGTGTTCTGGGTATTAATATTTTGTTGTTTTGAAATAGTTCCTGTGTTCACTTTCTTTATATTTACTTCTTTATATTAACCAAATTTTTACATAAAAATAAGTTTCCTTTATAATTTAAAAAGTTTCCCTTTGGGGAAAGAAATTATAAAAGAACAAAAGTAACTCATTCTATTTTCTGATTGTTTTATACTTAATAGGTTTAGGATTGAGAAACAGATCAACTTTTTCCAACCCAGGATAAGACCCTCCTAGAAGCCAACTCACAGCGTGGCTGCTGAGGTTCGGGGGCACCTCCTAACTGCAGTGGCACATTCCCTTCCTGCCTTTTGTACCTGCCCCATTTTTCAGGGCTTTAAATTTAAGACTGAGAAGAAATCGCTTCTCTCACTTGGAGGGTTAATACTCTTCATCCCTCATCATTTTTCAGTTGGCCTCAGGCGATAACTGCACTGGAAAGGTCTGGCATTGCTCTGGCTCACATAGGAAAGCCACAGGGGAAACAGATAAGGATTTCTGTGTGTAGGAGGTGGAGTCAGGTGGAGACCAAAGTGTTCAGAGTTTGTCCTTCTCTTACTATGTTGGGGTCTCCTTCATATTCTCTCTGCTGGAAACTGTCCACCTTTCTGTCCTCTAAATACTGGAATGTCCCAGGGCGCAGTGTGGTTAATAATCTCCAAAGACGGCTCTTACCAATTCCTCCCCTCCCAGTATGCAGAGGCCATCTACCCATGGGAGGTGGAATCTATATCCCCTCCCCTTAAATGGGGCCTGGCTGCATGACTGGCTTTGGCAAACAGAAGACAATTCCTAGTCAAGCCTTTAAGGGGACTGGCAGAATCCCCCTTTGCTTGTGCAAAGCCAGCTGCCATGCTGTAATGAAGCTCAAGTTAGACTCCTGAATGGGGAACAACCAAGAGAGACAGAGGCCGCATGGAGTAGCCAAGGCACCAGACATGGGAGTAGAGACCTCCCGGGCCTCCTAGGCCCACCCAGCCACCAGCTAAACACACAAGGTGAGGGACCTAGCTGACACCACATGGACCGTGCTGGGGCAGCCAGGGCCGGCCCAAATTCTTGACACAGGACTGTGAGGAATAATAAATTGATGTTTTAAGCCACTGAGTTTTCTGGCGGTTTGTCACTTAGAAACAAATAACTAAAATACTCAGTCCTTAGACATCTTTTCTCATCTATCCACACTGCCTGCTTAGGTGATCCCAGCCAGCCCCATTGCTAAACTAGTCTACAGGCTGATGACTCCAGCAATAAACTCTGCTCAAACCTCCAGACTCATACATCCAACTTCCTTCTAAATGCCTCCACTTAGATGACTAATAAGCACCTCACACTAAAAAACTATAGGTCATCCCCTTAGGGAGCCAAGTCTTTGCCATCTCAGCAAATGGCAAATCTATCTTTCTAATTGTGGAGGATAAGAATCTGGGAATTATCGTTGATTCCTCTTACTTTAATACTCCACAGCCATTTCTTCCAGTAAATTCTATTTGCTCTGCTTCCAGATTTGATGCAGAATCTGACCACTTCTAACCACTTCCTTTATCACCATCCTGGTCTGATTCACCATTATTCCTCACTTGAAAATTATAATAGCTTCCTAGCTGGTTTCTCTCCTTCCACTCTTGCCTTCTCCCTCAACCCAGCAGCAGCCAGAGTGCTCTTGCAAAAAGTTTAAGTCAAATTACATCACTTCTCTGCTCAAAACCCTCCTGTGGCCTCCCATCTCAGAGTAAAATTCAAAAAGCCTACATTTTTTGTAAATCATATATCCAGTAAGGGACTTGTATCTAAAATATGTAGAGAACTATTGCAACTCAATAATAAAAAGACAACCTAATTAAAACATGGGAAAAAGATCTGAATAGACATTTCTACAAAGAAGATACACAAATGGCCAATCAGCGCATGAAAAACAAAGTTTGACATCTTTAGCCATGAAGGAAATGTAAATCAAAATTGCAATGAGCTACTACCTCGTACTCAATAAGATGGCTATAATAAAAAAGACATATAATAATAAGCATTGGTGAATATGCAGAAAAGCCTTCATGCATTGCTGGTGGAAAAAGAAAATGGTGCAGCCACTTCAGAAGTCCGTGTGGCAATTCCTCAGAAGATCAGAAGATTAAACAAAGAGTTACCGTATGATACAGCAATTCTGCTCCTAGGCATATATCCAAGAAAAATGGAAACATGTCCACATGAAAACTTGTACATGATGTTCATAGCAGCATTATTCATGCTAGTCCCAAGTAGAAACAACCCAAATGTCCATCATTTGTGATGGGCTTCTACACACACTGTTCCCTCTACTTCCACTCTTCCCCCACATATCCAATAACTCACTTATACTTATTCACTTCCCTGCTCAAATGTCATCAGAGTGGCCTTCCCTGACCACCCTGCAGGAACAGCCACCTGCATGAACAGCCCCCACCAGGCTGCCACCATCCTCTAACCCTTCACCTCTCTTAGTTTACTTCCCAGGACTCACTGCTACCTGATATATCATATATTGATGTATGTTTCTGTTACTCACCCATCTCTTTCCACTAGAATGCAAGCTTCCTGAGACCAGAAGCTTCATTTAATTCATTGTTATCTCCCCAGTGCCTACAATAATGTCTAGCTATACATCTTTCTGTGTGGATGGACAGTGACTGCAGTGGGGTGTGTGGCGGGGGACTTGATAATATGGATGAATCTAGTAACCATAATATTGCTCATGTGAAATCTTCATGAGATTGCATATCAATGATACCTTAATAAAAAAAATAATGTCTATGTCTAGCTATAGTAGCTGCTCATAAACATTTCTTGAGTGTATGAATAAATGAAGTCAAATCAAACGATCACTGAAAGCTTCATCGTGAACCAGCCTAGCTGATTTTAGGTGACCAGAGGTGTGTTTTTTTAGTGGCCTGGGTTGTCTGCATAACCAAAGGAAGGAGCAGCTGTGGTACCTCACCTTCAGTGGCTGAGGTTATCCACAAGACAAGGCACCATGATTAAAATGTAGGCCCCAGTGGAGGGAACCAGCGCTCAGGGAGGGGAGCCCCTGCTGCTCTGGCTGCTCACCTCTTCTTTAGTGTAGTACTTCAGGAGGCCTTCTCTTGCCAGGAGGACAAACTTCCTTCTCAGAAACTGTGCGTTGTCCCTTCCCCGCTTCCACAGGAACCCTTCTCGGTTACCTTAGACACCAAGGAGGAGATAGAGTGAACACCGGCGTCCTTAAGACAAACAAGCAGCTCAGAACCTCAGAGGGCTTCAGGGGTGGATGAACCTCAAGGCCTCCACCTGCTGCTAAAATGTCTCGAAACTAACCTAGTTACTTCAGCTGCAGGACATGGGGGTCCCGTCCGGGGCCAAATTGGCAATGTCTTATGATTTCAGTTGGGCTCACGCCCAATTTCCTTGGCTGTTTTATAAGAAGACATAGTAAACCCTTACATAGGCTAAGCCCTGAGGGACTGGACTGATTCTGAAAGAGGTCCATGTGGTCCTGTCCAACTTCACACTGACATCAGTCTAATGAAACTCGCCAGAGTTCAGGAGTAATGACCGCTAGGCATCTGCTCACTGAAGAATACCCGGTGCTCCTGGTAGCTAGGGGAGTGGAGGCCTGGCTGCCTCTCTTCCTCAGAGTGGATTTGTGCACATTGCTCTTTGGGCCAGCACCAGCTTGGACCCAAAGCAGCTGGGCAGAAACTGCTGCAGGTCTAGGGCCACCAAAGAGGCTGTGCCCTACATCAAGGTGTGCCTTACCAAGGCTTGTGCCCTACCAGGGGTTACATTAGCCAGAAGCAGGGGTGCCTTTTTCTGATTGGTGTGCCTGGTAGCTGAGTCTTCCTGCAGTTTATATCAGGACTCTACACACATTGCAAGGACTTGAGACAAATATGCCTCTTGGTCACTCCACCCATAAAACCCCACCAGCCAGTGTGCTGCTATTTTGGAGGCAGAGGAGCCCACACCTTGGCCTCTGAGGCCACAGTGAGGGTGGCAAGCATCCATAGGTTGAACCTTGTTTCTAATACTCAGGCACTCTGTTTTCTAGAACTCATTAAAGCCTAGACTTCAAAAGATGATATGTCATATGAATTCCCTGATATATGGAATATAAAAAACAAACAAAAAAGAAATAGACCCACAAATATAGACAACAGACTGTTGGTTACCATAGGGAAGGGGGTGGGAGGATGGGTGAAATAGGTGAAGGGGCTAAAGAGGTACAAACTGCAAACAGTAAACTAAGTTAGACGTAGGAATGGAAGTACAACATAGAGAAGTTAACCAATAATATTGTAATATCTTGGTATGATAATGGGGTAAGTACAACTGTTGTGGCGAGCATCTAGTAATGTGCACAAGTATCCAGTCACTATGTTGCACATCTGAAACCAACATAATATTGCATATCAACTTTGTGGCAGTAAGAAAAGGAAAGAAAACACTAACTAGAAAAAAAAGATGATGAAAATAACTTTACCTGGAGGTGAGATGGATTTCCCATCAGCCATAAATTCCTGTCTTTCATACTTAGCTCGAATCCATTGTTCCTTTAAAACCCTAAAAAGACAGAGCGTTTGGTCAGCTGTGTCTGATGCATCCTCTCCCCACCGTGATTTTCTGAGAGCCTGCAGCTGAAGGCAGGAGCATCCCAGCAGCTGTCTTACTGCCTGCTCAGGCTCCCCAGGGCCTCGTAGAGTTGGTACTATTAAAATTTGGTGCTGGATAATTCTGTGTTGTGGGGGCTGTCCTGGGCACTGTAGGAACCTTAGCAGCATCTCTGGCCTCTACCCACTGGATGCCAGTATCACCCGTCCCCGGTTTTGACAACCAAAATGTCTTCTGACATTACCAGTGTCCTGGGGAAAAATATTTCCCCCGATGGGCTATGTGAAAGCCACAGGGCTCTTCCAACCTTGAGGTCAATGAGACAGATACCAGCTGTCCCGGATCACCTACCCTGCCACCTCCCACTGCGTGCTCAGGCGCATATGCAGCAGAGCATGTGAGCTCCTCCTGTGGCCTCCCCCTGACATCTGGGCATGCTACACTGGACAGAGGAGTGGTCTGAGGGCTCAAGCACCTGGGATCTGGTCCCACTCTACCCTTTATCCACAGTGTGATCAAGAGTGGGTTACTTAAGTCCTCTGAACTTGAGGAATATGCCAATAATATTATACCTACCTAACCTCAGAGGTTTAAGTGTATATGAATGTATATAAATGTCCCTGCTGAGGGTGGCTGCACCTCTGTCCTTCCCATAGTCTGATCCCCAGATCCAGGCAATCCCCCTGTGCCTGAGCTGGCTTAACCTGCATTTCTGTCATGCACAATCAAGAGCCCTACCTAATGCCCCGCCCTCACCCCCAGTGCATTGAGGAGAGTCACAAGCCCACCATGGGACGTGAACCACAGAAACAAAGCTGGGAGAGGGGATGGAGACTGGGGCCCCTGGAGATGGAGACCTCAGAGGACTTCTAGAATTGTGGGGAGAAAGCTGTTAGTGTCCAGCTACCAGTGCAGGGCTGTGGTGGGGTCACAAGCCATCTGTGCATGGGGCTGGCAGAAAGCCTAGTGCACAGGTGCTCACCAAGTGCTTGTTCCTTTCCCCTTAGCAGATGGCTGAGGGGCAGCGGCAAGGCAAGGTGAGGCAGGCCCTCCCAAGGTGAGGCCAGAGACCAGGCAGCATTCTGAAGCTGACACTGAGACATAGATTAAAACTAGCATGTCAGCTATTTTATATAATTATCTCATTCAGCTTCTACCACCTTGCAATGATATAGGCCTCATTATCTGCATTTCAGAGATGAGGATGCCATGAAGTAGAGAGATCTGGTAACCTGTTCGGTGAGGCTGAGTTCTTGGGAGCCAAGCTCAGCCTCAGGCAGTCAGTTCTGCAGAGGTCGGGGGTCACTAGGTACCAGTGTCACACTGACTCCTCACCTCCAGGGGACTGGAACCCTCCTGCTACTTCACAGCTGCCCTCCTCCCGCACCCGTTATACTGGATTTTCCCCATGCCGTGGTGTGTGCCCTCAGGTCCTGGTGTCGCCTGGGCTGGTCACAGCCCTGCCTCTGTGGGCCTCAGGCGTTTCAACTGTATCATAGGGATAATGGCTGTATTTATCTCATCTAGTTGTTGAGAGAATTAAATTAATGCACACAAGCATTTGGCACAGGGCCTTGTGTATAAGTAAAACTCAATAAATTATTGGTAGCTATTATTATTTTTATGGTTATTATTTAGGGATCTAGGGCCTAGGCAGCTGCTTTGGGGCTACACTGAGCCCATGTGGGCCAACCCTAGGCACAACACTCCCTAGGAAGTAAGTAGAACATTTGTTCTACTAACATACCAGCATTTCTCATCTCTGTCAGGTTAGCCACCACCAGTATTAACTGAGGCTATGAGGACATCAGAGGCAGAGGGCCAGAGCGTAGAGAAAATGTCCCATTTCATAGCAGTGGAAACTGAGTCCCAGAGAGAAGTGACAACCCACACAATAAAGGTAGAGAGAGGCTTTCTCCATGACAGTACCACATGCTTTCCTGGACCCACATGCTACAGGTCCACAGAAGAGACCACCGCCAGCAAAGGCACCAGAGGCGGTGAGGGGTGGGGCAGCTGGGACCAGGGAATCGCCCACTCACATGCAGTCGTTGGCTTGGGGGATATAGTAGAATGCAGGGACTCTGGCTTCGTACTTGGCTTTCACACGGAGGTTCCCGTTGTGGGTCATAAACTGCAAGACAGCAGCCACTGGGGTAATAGTAGAACTTGAAAAAATGTGAAACGAAACCATGGTCTACCCAGAAGGCCCTTGTTCTCACTGGCTTCTACGCTGAGTCAGGAGACATGTCCTACCGGACTTGGTCTCCATTCTGCTAGGAAGTCCCAGCCTGGAACAGTGAGGTGCTATAATAACCATGTCCCATACGGCAGAGCATTTACACACACATTAGTTCATCTGATTCCCTCAACCATTTTAATATTACTGTCCCCTTTTTAGAGATGAGGAAACTGAGGCTCAGAGAGGTTAGGCAACTTACCCAAGGTGACACAGCTAGTAAGTGGAGAACTGGGATTTAAAACCAGACCCAACTCCAGAGCTCCTGTTCTTTCCCACCCCACCCACAGATGGCCAGGCCACCAGCAGCAGTCCCTGCAAGTCTGCAAGTCTGCAAGAGGAAGATGTAGCTGGAAGAAGTCAGGGCCGGCCCCCGACTCAGGTCAGGATGATCACTGGGCCCTTTTGACACCTGAGACATCCAGAGACAGATGTGCCAAGAGTGGCTCTGGCCAATAGTCAGCACTCAGGAACAGCAGTGGCATAGTTGGGGTGAGGGAAAAATGTCAGATTTTTAATCCACGTTCCTTGGGCAGAGTGAATCCTATTCTCCCCCTCCTCAGGGGCCACTGGGCTGTGTTGCAGGATTTGGATTCACATCCCATTGTGCTATATATTCACTGAGTGGCCCTTGGGCAATACCTAAACCCCAGAACTTCAGGGACTTCACCCACAAAATGAAAATATACTAGGGGAATTATAAGGCACAAAGTACAACCTTCAGGTTTACGTGCTGGTTTTCTGGCTTCCTGTCTTTCTCATGCACTAGAGTGTAAGCTCCATGTGGGCAGAGACCTTATCTTGTTCAACGCACTCACCTGATACCCAGCACACAGTAGGCTTACAGTGACTGTGTCACATGAATAAGTAAAGCATTCCACCCAATGGCCTAGCGCAGTGCATGGCCCTGAGTGGGCACTCAGCAAACATGGGCCCTCCTCCCCAGCAGTCCCCAGAGTCCTAGGCCAACGAGCAGTTTAGAACTGCCTGCTCTCTGAAGGTTTTCTGATGATGACGGTATTATCACCTAGGCCGAAGATGTCCTCCATCTCTGTAGGTCAGGAGAGCAAAGTGGTCTCCTTCCTGGCTCCAGGGACTGGAGAGAGACTGGAGACCATGAATCAGGATATTTCTGTTCCAGTCCAGGACTCCAGACCACAACAGCAGCTGTTAAGGACTCCTTATGTTATATCTGCCTTGAGCCCACATCTAACCCTCTCAGCAGCCCTGTGAAGGGGTAGTAGTATGCCTATAGTACAGATGTGGAAACTGAGGTCCACAATTAGGGTTAAATAACAAGTTTAGGGCTTTCACAGCTTCTTAATAAGCAAGTGATGGAGCTAGGATTTGAACTTAAGGTCTCTAAGCCAAAACTCTGATAGGCTATGCGTTTTCCCTCGCTGCTTATTGTTCCTCTCTGGGCCTCAGTTTCCTCCCTTGTAGAACGGGAGCGCCCTGCCCACCTCCCCCGCCCCAAGGCTCTCTATGTGAGTTCCTTGCTACCTCCACAATACTGTCGTCCCAGAAGTCAAGCTTCACGGATTTAACTTTGCTGATGTCTGGGAAGTTGCGGTGGACGCCGGAGCAGTTCAGACAGATGAAGATGCCCAGTTTGTAAGAGGCCCAGTCCGGATCTGCGGGGTAAAGGGCAAGAAGGCAGCTGAGTGGAGAGTCGGGCAAGGAAACCAGGGCTGGGTCGGGGTTGCTGGGTGAGGCAGGGCTTGGCAGTCAGAACGGTGCCCAGCTCTGCCCAAGCCGGGAACATCTTCTCTCTTGGTTTCCCCACCTTGGGTGAACTAAGATACCAGCAATGGAATCTTCTGGTCAGCCCACTGGCCAGGGTTCCGTGGCGACCAGGATGAAGATCTTGGAAGGAGTCCCGCGCATGGGGAAGGCGCGATGTGGAAGTGACAGGACTCCGGGGAACCGAGAGGAGAAGGCAGAGGGAGGGACCTGCACCGAGGCGCCGGGCTGGGGCGCTGCAGGTGGGGAAGTCTGAGTCAGGGTCCCCCCGGTGGGCCGGTTCGGAGCGCTGTGGAGCAGGAACGCCGGAGGACACCGGGGAGTCCGGCGGCGGGGGAGGGGACATTGGACAGGCAGTTGGCTCTGGCCCGGGGTTTGGGATCCCTTGGTGTGTGGCATGCTTGGGTCCGAGGGCGTGCGAAGTAGCTGAAGTCGTCAGGGACCGAGGTCCGGGTGGGCAGGGTGTCTGGAGTGGGTGGTGAGCAGGGTGGTCAGGACACCCGGGTCCGGGATCTAGTGTCAGGGTCCAAAGACGTTGAAAGATCCGTGTCAGGGTCCAGACTGGGGAGGTCAGGGGGCCTGAGGTCGGGTGGGCGCGGTATCCGAGGTGCAGAGAGCAATGGGGGGTCCAGGCGGGAGCCTGGATCCGAAGGTGTCCTGAGAGTCACGCCCGGGGTCTAGCGGGGGGCCCGGGACAGGACAAGACCTGGAAGGAGGGGAAGGGTCTGGGGGGCCGGGGTCGAGCTCCTCGCGCCGCTGCACCCTTACCCGCCGCTCCGCAGTCGGCGCAGAGCGCGTTGCCTGTGCCCGCCGCCTGCAGCAGCTCCAGCAGCCGCTTCTTGTTGCGCTCGCGGTCGCCCATGGCCAGCCGGCCGGAGGGCTCAGCGGGGCTCAGCCCGGCCGCCCCCCGGCCCGCGGGCGCCCAAGGCGCGTGCGCTCGCTGCGCAGACGGAGAGGGACCGAGCCCGGCGCCTCCCGCCCGGACGCGCCCCGCCAGCCCCGCCCCGACAGGACCTTCCGCCCCGCCCCCGGCGCGTCCAGCCCAACCTCGGCTCGGCGGGCTCGGCCCCCAACTAAGCCGGGCACCCAGGGCAGACTCCCGAGCGCGGGGCTTGGAGTCGTCCACGCAGACCCGGGATCAAATCCTGGTCCGCCGCTCGCTAGCTGCGTGACTATGGTCAACCTAGTCAACCTCTCTGGGCCTGTTTCCACCTCCGTAAAAGCAGAATGAGGGCACATGTCTGCGTCTCAGGGCTCCTTGGATCCACTTCGGTTAAAGCGCTCTCCTGATATAGATCTTTCACCTACTTAGAGACAGAGATGTTCAAATACCGCCGCCTCAGGAAGCCCTCCTTGATACCCAGTCTCCAGTAACCTCCCCAGCATCTGGTCCCCCTAGAAACCTTTATAGCTCCTCCCTTTGACCCTCAGTACTTTATCTACCTAGCATTAGAGTTACTTATATATTTGTGTTAATCCTCCCACCCGCGACACACACATGCCCACACTAGATAGCTTGACGTCAGTAGTTTTATTTCTGTATCCCACATAGCTCCTAGAAACAGCACCAGCACATTTTTAGAAGTACAGTAGTAGTTGCATGACTCTGAGGTGTGGGCAGGGCCTAGGTAGTTTTGAATCTGGGCACTTCATTCATCTCGACTCCCCCCCTTCGCTGTCCCTCGTTGACACCATGCTCAGTGACTCCCCCAACTCCTGGTAAGGCACACACTGCACATATTGCCACCCCCTCTGTAGGTGACACCCACCTGTTATATGCATATGCTTCATGCACACAGGTGTTAGGTTTCCATCCTGATGGACTGCCGCTGGTGTCCTAGCTAACCTGCTTGCACACCCAGTTCAGCACACATGCGTACCCCTCTCCCCACCATAGGGCAGCATCGTTTAATGGAATGACTCCAGGAAGCTAGGCTTTGCATCTCTGCTCTGTCACTCTCTGTGTGGCCTTAGGCAAGTTCCTGCACTTCTCTGGCCCTTGAATGTCTCATCTGTAAAATGGGGATTTCGAGATAGCCTAATAGGGTGGTTGAGATATGCTAGTCCATGGCACACAAAGCCCTCAAAACACCATGGCTTTCTCTGCCCGCTGGTCAGCTCATGGGATGGGGATCATCACTTGGAATGCTGTGTGTCATTTCCCATCTTCCCCAGGGTGGAGGAGGTCAAGCCTCCATTCCCAGGGGTGGGGATCATTACCAAGAATAACCATCCAGGAGGGTCTTGACTGTGGGGGGTGTGCCCTAGCCAGAAGCAGCTCCAGAGGCACCAGTAAGAGCGCCCAGAGGGGTCAGAGGACACGGACCTGTTTACCAAACAGTCCAAAAGACGATTCATTTCCGCTGCTTCAGATGAAAAAAGGGACAGAAATAAACCTCCCAGGAGAAAGATGGGAAAGGCAACCTAAGGTATGAAGGCAAGGCGGTGCAGGGGGGATGAAGAGGAGACAGGCCGAGGACATCAGTCCTCTGCTGCCCAATACTGGGAAACACTGTGATGATGAGGGTGGTGCTTGGGCGCCCCCAGCCTTCCCCATTCTGTGCACCCTTGTCCCACTGAGCTGTTCTTTGGCACCTTGAGTCTCAGCGTCCCCTCCTGGAGGTCCCACAAAACTGACCCAAGGGAAAATATAGCACCTCCTTCATGGTGAGGAGCCAGAGATTGAGCGATTCCTTTAATTTTCCTTCTTCCTGTCCTTATTTCTGAAGGTTTCCATTTAACAGAATTTCAAACCTTAAGGTGAATTTTTCAGGCATCCTCAGAGGAAGAAAAAATGTACTATAGTATTTGGTTTGTGATGGGTTTCCTTCGTTCCTTTTGTGGGGAGAAGGGAAGGAGAGAGGGTAATTCTAGTTAACAATTACTGAGTGTTTTACAGGGAGTTCCTGGACAGTCCTTTGAGGGCAGCGGGTTCTCTTCAGAGGAGTGAAGTGTTCCAAGGTCACAGAGCTGACTATGGGGTGGAGCAGGGGCCCAAACCCGGCGCCTCTGTTGTGGGTCCACCTGCCCCACGTTATGTCCCAAACCCCACAGGACAAGCCTGCTCCGCCTTTAGTCCTTCCTTTCCTGAATTTTCTTTTTCACTTAAAAAAATATGGTAAAAAAAAAAATTACATAACATAAAATTAGCCATTTTAATCATTTTTAAGTGTGCAATTCAGCGGCATTAATTACCTTCACAATGTTATGCAACCATCACCACCATCTACTTCCAGAAGTTTTCCATCACCACAAAAGAAACTCGGAAGCTCATCTGTGGGTACTGGCCATGATTAGGGTTGAGCACAGCTCTGTGTTCCGGAACCAGAGGCTGCTCCGAAGGCTGTCGTGACAAGGGCAGCTGCCGAGCACTGGGACCAGGGGACGGGCTTTGAGGGGCCGGGTGGGCTGAGGCAGTCTTCCCCGTGTGTTCGGTCTGGGGTGAGTGGACAGTCCAGGTCCTGGGACAAAGTGTCCTCTGTACATGAAGAAGCTCCCAGGGTCCGTCAGAGCACAAATGCACAGCCAGCTCTCAGGACCACTGTCTCTGCTAAGCTGAGCCCAGGCCCAGACAGGAAAAAGGCTTTCAACCATATTGCCATTCCTGGACTGGGCTAAAATCCCCAGAGAATAGATCATAACCCCTTTAAAAATTTAAACAACCATGTTTATTAGTTATAGCATCTAAAAAAACTGCAACTGTAGGAAATTTAGAGAATACAGTAAAGAAGAAAGAAAACACCACCCACACTAACGGACACCATTTATTCAGGGATTGCTGTGTGTCGGGCATTATTTCATTTAATCTTCAATGCAATCTTCAGGTATAGACTGTTTTTATGCTCATATTACAGATGAGACAACTGACACCTGTGAGAGAAGTTAAATTTGTCCAAGGTTACACAACTGTGATGATGCGTGCTGGGTGATACGCGGCACTGGAGCTGGGACCCGAACCCAAGCTTGCCTTGGACCCTTTTAATTGATCTATCAGGTCGAACCACATGAAGCTAACTTACAAAAATAGTAATGTCACGCAGTTCCACCGAATATTATTCTTTTAATAGTGCCATGACTAGTCTTCATGAACATTTTCATGATTTTCCATCTGGTCTTTTTATATGGTTGGGACCATATTTTTCATACTGTTTTATGTCCTTTTTAAACTTTCTTAACATAATGTCTTTTATATCATATTAGATACTTCATGGCACCTTCTTATTTTATTTTTCAAGTCAAGACACATAACGTGCCAGCATTGTAACAAGGTTTGAGGGAGGCACATGTCATGCAAAAGTGTGAACCCCCAAATCATCATGCTTGTGGACTACGAAAGGATCCTCATGACATTTTAATAGTTATGTGATATTCCATGGGATAACTATATTTCCTTGTTGTTGGACATAGACTGTGACTGATTTTTCACTGTTATACATAATGCTATCATGAGTATCTTGGTGTCCAAAGCTTTTTCCCTCTTCGGCCCTGTATTTCCCAGCATCCCACTGTCCTGTAATTACTCACTGGTTTTCTAATCTCTCTTATTCATTAAAGCTTCATGTGAGGGTCAGGTGTGCCCTCCGTTGTATCCCCAGCACCTGCCTGCTGCATAGCAAGGATTCAATTAATATTTGCTAAATAAATTAAGAGATGAGTATGGGTATAAAATAATAAACAATCAAATGAGAGGACTTGGTATCCCAAAAGCATTTTCCTTTGTGAAGGAAAGAAATAACAGGCAGGCATGTGAAATAGTGGAAAGTCAAGCATCCAAGCAGGAGAATCTGATTGAGTTTACCTATATTTTGTATATCTGGTATCATTTGGTCTTCCACAGGAACCAGCTCAGAGCCCAGAGGCACTCCCTGCTGCAATACTGCCATAGTGCTCATTCACTCATTAAATACTTACGGGGAGCATCCTATGTGCCAGGCACTGTTATGGGTACTGGGGATATAGTTAGAAACAAAGCAAATGGTCTTAACTTCAGGTGGGGGAGAAAGAAAATGAATAGAGAAACCCAATATACTTATATACAATATGGCACCAGAGTGATAAATGCAACACAGGAAAGCAGAGTAAGAGATGGAAGATGCTGCTTTCTTAGGGAGCTCAACGAAGCCCTCTCTGAGGTGACATTGAAGCAAAGATCTGAAGGAAGGGGTCAAACCAACCAGGCACCTATCTAAAGGAAAAGTGTCTTGGGATAAGGGGAGAGCAAGTGCAAAGGCACTGGGATGGTAACATACTTCGGTGTGCTTTGTCCACCTCCTTTGAGCATATGTGGTCCAGCTCCGGGCTGTTGTGCCCTGCTCACACTGCTCCCTCTCCTACTGCAGTTCCCTTCTCCTCCATGCCTCCCCCCTGCCCAGCTCCCATTGATCTAGCAAACTCCTGCCTCCATGCCCAAATTTGAATCGTACTTCTTCCAGCCTGCCTTTAGCTCCCTTAGGTATTTTCTCACTATGTTCATATTTCTATTATAGTAATCATCACATTGTACTACGATTTTGTTAATGTTTCATCCCAACTAGCAGTGATCTCACTAAGAGCAGATTGTCAGATTCATCTTTGTACCCTTGGTGCCTAGCAAGCCCTGGGCCTGAAAATGTTGGTTGATCCATTTATGCGAAATGTCCAGGATAGGCAAATCCATAGAGACTGGAAGCCAATTCATGGTGGCCAGGGGAGAGGGAGGCTGGAGAGTGACTGCTGAATGGATACAGGATTTCTATTTAGGGTGTTGAAAATGTTCTAGAACTAGATAGTGGTGATGGCTGTACAACATTGTGAATGTATGAAAAGCCACTGAGTTGTACACTTTAAAATGGTTATATTTTATATTTTAAAATATAAAATGGTGAATTTTATATTATGTGAATTTTGCCACAGTTAAAAAATGCTGGTTGAATTGAGCAGAGTTCAGAGCCCCATTACACAGGCAGTCTGGCTTATGGGAGTTTGCATTCTGAATAAAATGCAACAACACAACAGAGAATCTAGACAGTTAAAAATCCAATTGTGAAATCTGGAGTCAGAAAATAAGTCCTGAATAAACACAAGGTCATTGAGTATTTACATTTTCTGTCATTAGCTGGAGCACTGAGTGAGAAGTTAGTCGTATGTTTCAGTCACACTACAGTTGAAGGGACTAGAGCGATACCTGTTGCAAAATTGATTTGAACATTGGGATGCTATCCTATTGAACTAGAGTTTTAAAATTGCGTTCAAAATTCTAAAACTTCTATTTCCTTTAGGTATACTTAAATTAATCACATAAAGGACTACCTTATAAGGCATCTAGATACTGTTGTCTTGAGGTCATTTTTCAGTTATGCTTCATCTCAATCTATATAGTCCATTGTCCAATTAATAACATCTCTCATTGCATAACATTTTTCTATTTTACTAATGATTTATATAGTTTCATTTTCCTAACAACATATAAGCATTGTGCTTTCAGCTTTATTTTGCAAAAGAGGAAACTGTCTCTATAGGAATAAATTGAGATATACATATATAAACTTAGCAGTGTTGGAGAGGAACCCAAGTATTCTCATTCTGGGTCTCAAATTGTGAACGCTGTTTTTTATTTTGACCACTTGCTTACTAATTTTGGTTGTGTACCACACTTTAAAAAGCAGTAATAAAATATAATATAAAAGCAGAAAAAAACAGAACCTATCCCAGACTAAGAATAGTAGGACCAATATTATCTTTCATCCACAAAACATCACTGAGGAAGGGGGGCAATGAGAAAGATACATCCTGTGCCCCTACCCTGAAAGATTTATCCAAGAATTGGTGGCCCTTTTGTGGGAGTTCTTGCTACCTTCGAGGAGATGAATGGCTTTGAGGACTAGATACAGTAGACTGTATCAATAAGCATTCAAAACCTGCATGATGCATATCTAGTTCAAATAACTTGGAGAAGTAACTTTTTAAGTAAGCTTTTATTGAGGTATTACAAACATCCAGGAAAGAACACAGTAATAAGCATACAGTTTGGTGAATTTTTACAAAGGGCACACACATGGTTAACTAGCTCCAGAGCTCCAGCAAGAGCATAAAACCAGCCCTGCAAAAGGCTCCCATTCCCTTCTAGGGCTAGCTCCCAGAGGGAACCTGATTTTATCACCATGAATTATTTTGGTCATCTTCTCAGAAGACATTGCCACCTGTCTACAGCCAGGGACCTATCAGGAAGGAGGAGGGGCTCCACTGTGGGTTTGCAAGCCACAGTGAGTTTCCTGATGGTGACACAGAAAGAGCTGGAAGATTAAGGTGAGGCCCCTTCAGTGGGGCTGTTGGTCAGGGCAGGTAGGGTGTGTGTAAAGGACACGGAGGGGTTAGGCTGACAGAAAGCTGGAAAATCGGGGTGAGGGGGTTGTTGCAAGAACCCAGGTGAGGGACAGAGAGGCTCTGACTGGGGTGGCCACAGCAAGGAAGAAACAAAAAAGACATTTTGCAGGTAAAGCTGATAGAATTTCGTGTGTTTAAGGTACAAGTTGCCATGCAGTAGTCATGAAATTAGTATCATTTTAGTGGTTCTAACTAACCCAGCTGTTTTTCTTTTAATCCCTTCCCTCCTCAAACTCCTATATGTCCTCAGGTTCCTTAACTTGACTTTGTCCTGTTTCCTTTCAAATCTCGCTGAACATTGCTTCTCAATCTTTGGGAATCCAAATCCTCTACTCACCTCCGTCTCTCCTTGACTCACTGTGCTTTTCTTACACTATCCATATCCCTGGCTCACGCCAGGCATTCTCAAGTGATCAAGTGCCATCTCTGTATGCTGACAGCCTCCCGGGGCAGTCCTCTCCCTTAGTTTTGGACCTATGTATCTACCTAGCTACTAGATAGATCCAGCTGATGTCCTGCAGGTTTAAAAATGGATTAGTGTTTTATTTTAAAAAACGAAATAGAAAATAGGAAGGTGTGTCATATGTAAGAACACAGTATTTTCAAATGAAGACTTTGTGTCACATGTACATCTATATGACCTGGGCCACTGTCAAGAAAGTTTTAAAAACATATGAACTAGAAAACTGGCTAGGCATAATGACAGGAGTAGGAAGAACCAGGGACATCTGCATTGGGGCAGCAAAAAACAGGGAAGTGTGAGGGGGCTGGTTTCCGGGGAAGATGACGACTTTCATTTTGAACACCCGGCTTCTGGTTTACAGTAAATCACGCACAGTGGTTGTCTCTTTCTCTACCACTTCCAACCTCAGGTCAAAGTAATTCTGAATGAATGCTCTGAGGAATAAGGGAGTTTCCCCTCAAGTTCACTAACAATTTGCTCCCAAGAAGTGTTAACGCTTTAATGGGGGAATTCCTATTTATTGAACCCTTATTATAAGCCAGGCTCTCTGCATCCAGTTTTTAAGAAATCCTCTTAGGAGCTTTGTGAGGTAAGTACCCCTATCTCCATTTAACACATGTGGAAGCTCAGGTCAGAGAGGATGAGAAACTGTCTAAGGTTGTACATTTAGCACGGATTTGTGGCATTTTGCCAGTGAATGACCTCATCTCTGAAAGCATTAATCACCAGGGTGCCTATGGCCTCACTTAGTAGTTTCCTAGGGCCTGCTGTAACAAATTACCACATTCCCTTCAGCGGCTAGCTCCCAGAGGGATCCTGATTTTATTGCCATTAATTATTCTGGTACCTTAAAGCGACAGATATTTATTCTCTCCCGGTTCTGGAAGAAAGACACCTAAAATCAAGGTGTAAGCAGGGTTGGTTCCATGCCTTTATTCCATGAGGGTGAATCTATTCCATGCCTCTCTCTTAGCTGGTGATGACCCACTGGTGATCCTTAGCCTTTCCTGGCTTGTAGATGCATCACTCCAATCTCCACCTCAGTTTTCATGTGGTATTTTTATATGGCTGTTTTCTTATAAGGACACCAGTCACATAGGATTAGCCATTTCCCCCACCACAACTCCAGTGTGACCTAATTTTAATTAATTATGTCTGCAATGACCCTATTTCCAAATAGAGTCACATTCTTAAGTGCTGAGGGCTGGTTTTCAATGTATCTTTTTTGAAGGATACAGTTCAACTTACACCTCAGTAGGCAGAATAAGCCCAGGAGTCAAAAGAGAATTATTTCCTATTGATTTGGAGGATATCGTACAAAACTTGGCTTTATTTCTTGTTAGATTCCTAAGTACCCCAGAAATTGACAAGATTTCTAGAATTCCCACGAGTAATTCTTATGAATACTCACAATTCCCCACATCCCCACTGCTTCCTGGACTATACTGACACAGACATTGCCACCTCATAAAACCACAAATCCACCACCTTCCCCTCCAAAAGTCACCTCCCTCCTGGCTTCCCTGTTTTTTACAAAACTAGCTTAAATCTCACCACCTTCCAGAAGGAATCCTTTCCTTTCTACTCTCCTTACACCTCCTAGATTCAATTCCTTATGATTGCCTGTCCCTTGGGAAGATACACTAGCTTCCCCTCTTCTCTCCTTCTTCACTTCCAATCCAGCCTTGCACTTCTATATATGGCGTTTTCTACAGACACATCTCCAGACTAATTCTACAAAAGCGTCAGTGGCTTTTGGCTACCTGGAGCTATTCAACTGCTGCAGTCTGCATTCAGGGCCCTAGTCTAGCGCAAGCCTCATCTCCTTGCAGCCCTTCCAAATGGAATACTGCTCCGAGTTTCAAGGCCTAAGACCAAAGCCACCTCCTCCTACCTCGCCCTTCCCTGACACCCCTTGCCTGGAAGCCATTTCCCTGCCGAGCTTCTGAAACACCTCGAATCCCTCCCAGTTATTCCATTCTCTCTGGTGAAAAGGTTATTTGTGTACCTTTCTATGCTCCCCACCAAATTCCACTCCTTACGCCCCACGCCGGGCCCCAGTAGAGGCTCATAAATCTCTGCTTAGAATAAACCCAGGGAGTCCCCCGGAAGGAGTGACCTTGAGGACTACAGGCTGAAACGGGCCCAGGTGTTTTCTTTTCAGAGATTCGCGGTCAGGGGCTGTTAGGGGCGAGAACCCTTCCTGGGTCAAGAAATAAGTCTGCACAACAGCCAAGGACTCGAGGTCCGGGCACAGGGATTCGGCCCGCGTGCGCCCGACCGCCCACAGCCGACCGCGTCCCACTACAGCTCAGCCGAACTCACGTCAGGTTGGCCCCGGAACGCCGCTTCGCCGGGAATATTTCCGCCCAAAGGCCGGGCTCTTTTGGGCTAAGCATGCAGGAACCGGAAGTCAGTGGGGGAGGACTGGATTGTGGGAACCTACTGACTGAACTTGGAAGATGAATGTTCCTAGTGTCCTTTTGGCAGGAGGTAGGGTGCCTGGAATACTTGATTAATTTTCCGTCTGCCGGTAGCCTCTGGTCTGGAGTATTTCCTCGCTCAGGTCCCATGTCCAGGTCTCCCTTTTGGAGTCCCGGCTGAGCTACTGGGACGATTTCGACCTCGGGCGTCAGAGCGATTACGCTTTCCTACGCCGGGGGTTCGGGAGCTGCTGCTTCCCCGGCTGGGCGGCGGGCCGAGAGTTTGAGGCTAACAGCTGCTTGCTTACATCCGGCTGCATTATTTTCCTGTGGCTGCAGTGTCATAGTGACTTTCCATTGGTTTTGCAAGTTATTCTTTATATAGTCTTTTTATTGCTTGCAGAAACAGGCATGGTAGAAATCTTGAAAAGTGTACGGGAGATAAAAACCGCCCTTAAGTCGGCCACTAAGCTAAAACATTTATAAACATACTCAGTTTAATTTTTTTTGGTTCCACCGGATGAGCAACTAGTAGAAATGGAAGTAAAGGCAAGTCTTGTTAACAAGGTATTAATTATAAAAAGATCCCACTACAGTAAAAAATGTCAAAAAATGTTAAGCAGTTGAAATCGTCTTAAATACAGGCTTCTTGATGGGCATAAAAATTTCGAAGTAGCAAACTTAGGACTTTTCACAAAAATCAGAAGACATCTCTCATGAATGTGGTCTACTGGTTCTTAAGTTACGGAAAAGTCTGTCACTCTGCAAAAGCTCTGGTTAAGCCACAACTAACATTAAAAGGAACTAGGACACCTCAACTTAAATTTTGCTAAATTTTCCTTTTAGGGAGGTGGAGATATTTTCAAGTTCCATTAGGGTCATTCCAGGCCCTACATAATTCCTGCTATCGGAAAAAATCCACTGCACCTAAGGAAATTATTCCCAATGTTGCTTTTGGTGATGAAAATACAAAGGAGTCTGGAAATGCACTTGACAAGCTCTTCTCTTCAGAACAGCAGGCTACCATCCTGCATGTGTTGAATACAGCATCTAATAAAGAACTTGACGCTTTCAGATTGCTTCGCGGAAGACAGTCCATCAGTATTATAGAGCACAGAGAAAAGTTTGGGCCATTTCAGAATTTGGAGAGTTTAATAAATGTGCCCTTGTTCCAGTATAAATCTGCTATTCAAGTTTGTAACGCCATTCTTTGTCCAGAGACTGAAGGGAAAAAAAAGTTACAGGACAACCGGGTCCTGAGAAAGCTCATCAAACCAGAAATAGAAAGAGAGAGACTTAAGGTATACTGTTTTTCTTAATGTCTGTTATACTGCCTAAACAGTTGAGAACCTACTTTGCAAAGCACTATTCTGAGCACCGAGATAGGCAGCTTATAGTGTAGTTGGTGAGCCTGGACATACTTATATATAAACAACCTGCTGTACAAAGTAGTATATGATCAGTACCAATGAATGAGATGTACAGATAGTAAATTGGCAGTTTAGGGGAGAGAGAAGTCTGGTCTGTGAGTAGGAAGTTTACTGATAGAGGTCTGTATGAAGTTTACTTAAGAGAAATGTTGAGGATATACCTGGCTGTGTCTGGGGGTTATGTTGGGAGTAATGAGAAATTAGGATGCAAAGATGGGTTATGGTGAAAGTGTGACTTTAGAACGTCATAGCAGTATTTCCAGCAGAATTTAAAGTTATTTTCTGTCTCCCCTTCTCTCTCTTAAAAAGCATTCTAAAAAGCAAATCTTTTTCAGTGTTGTCTTAAAAAAATTAATATTAGCATTCTTGGCACAGGAAATATTAAACCTTGGAGGAATTTAGGTCCTGTGTAGCATTAATTGGTAAATTATTCTTTTATCCCGTAACAGTAATCAGTTTCTTCCAGACTGGTAGTTGTTTTGTGTGGATTATGGATAGTTTTTGAAAGCCTGATGAAAGCTAAGGACCCTTTAGCAGCTGGGGTGGGGTGGGGAGAGGAGGGGGATACACACACACATGGGGTGGGGTGGGGAGAGGAAGGGGATACACACACACACACACACACACTGTGTATGTAGCACATATACAGAGAATTTGCATATACTTTCAGAGGACTTGGAGATCTCATTAAGCCCATTCATGGACACCAGATATAAATCCTGCTATTACTGATCTTGACATTTGAAGCCAGTTTTGTAGGGTATGGTTTTATGGCTAAAACTACTGTTTATCCTCAGATTATAGTGGAGTTGCATCTTATTTAGAGGGCCCTGTTTTATAGTTTATATGGAGAAAATCATGCGGTAAAGTCCTTGAAAGAACGTATTGCTCATGAAGTACTTTGTGTAACTGGCTCAGTAATTCTTTTTTTTGCAACGTTTGTTTCTTGCCTTTATTATGGTTTCATATTACTCTGATATATATAAAAAAATTTTAAATGAGCTATTTACAACGTATGTGTTGATAAATAAATGTTTGCATTCTTAGTTTAGATGTTACTTGTCAATGTTTCTGAAAAGATTCTCCTGGCCACTGATAACTCCATTTAAAAGAACTTTCTGCAGAAAGCATAAATGGCTGACAGCCTTCAGCAGTTGCCCTTTTGAATGAATCAAGATGGCCAACCAAGGCCTCTCTTACCTGGTGCTGCACCCACCCAGTGACTGAGCACTGGAGGTCCTATAGCTGGCCATCCCCCCTTGATCTGGAACTCCTCCTGTAGGCAAGTGTTGGGCCCTTAACAAAGTTACTTCATGGTGTTGCTGCTTCAGTGTCCATTTTGTTTGGCCAAGCAGCATACAGGGACCTTAAGTTGACACTAAGCCCCCACATACAGGAGCATTCCCTAGATAGCAGCCTGAAGAGTCACAGGCAAATATAAGTTCCTGATATTGGCTCAGTAATTCTTACACTAAAGAATTACACTTAATTCTCACACTAAAGCTTGAAAAATAATTCAGCTAAAGAAAAGAACCAAAAGAAGGCCAGTATTTTATAGTTGTCCAGGTATCCAAACTATTCTGCCTGTAGTGGATGTTTATCCATTCCTTAGCAGTGAATGAGAGACATAAGATGATACAGTCAGTGTTCTTCATCTGCCTCTGTACCTACAGATCATATTAATTTCTCCATGTAACAAAATGAGCCATGTGGGAGTAAGGAGATGCCATTGTCCTATATCTCCAGCCGACTTGGCACAGAGCTAAATCCATACATCCCATTATATATTACACATCTCCCCGTAGAAGCCCTATAGGCAACCTGAACTCAATATATCAAAATCACTTTCCCAAGTTGATCTGCCTGTTAGCTTGATTAATGATGCCAATCACTGATATAGACTGGCTTAACGTAGGCTCCTCCTTCCCATGTATCAATTCTACTCCCTTTATCTCTGATCTGTTTCTTGTTCCTTTTCACTGTTACCATCTTACATTTTTAATACTTTGTCATATAACAGGTACCTAACACAAACCTGTCTCTCATCTAGCCTCAAGTCCATTTTACACACAGCTGTACTTTCTGAACTGTACAGGTGGCTCCCTGTAGCTCTCACGATAAAACAAGATACTTTCTGCAGAAATTTGTCTGCCCTTCTATCCTTTTTCCCCTTTTCACTACTCGAGTGTGAGGTGTCAGACAGCCTATATTGGCAGTCATCAGGGTGAAATAACTTCCTGTTTACTATTTTACTTAGTCTAGTCCTCCAATAAATCTTCCGTGACTGTTTCTCTTTACAGTGTAACCGCTGTATGGTGACATTTTGTAATGTACAGTTTATGTTCCTTGTTTCCCAGTATCTAGCACAGTCTCCAGCAACATTTGAATAAATGCCTACTTTGAGCTAGGTGGTGAGGACAAGTAAAGGTTCTTTGTCTATAAAATGATTGCTACTGGTTACCTTTTAATAATAATTACTTCACATTTCTTTAAAAATTCTCAGTTCATAAACTGTAAATATATTTGTTATATGAACTAAATTGGCATTCTAAATTTGTAGCTTAACTTTTTTATGGTTACACTTGTAATTAAACCAGCCTTTTTGTTTTAGGCACTTAATAGTATTGTATCCATTGTTTTTGGTACTCGAAGAGTTGCCTGGGCTCACGTTGATCATAAACTGGCAGTGCTGGACTGGCAGCAAAATGAATGTTGTCAATTGATGAAAGGAACATACACATCATCTGTCTATTTAAAAGAGGTAAGGTAGTTGCACCTCTCAATTCCTACCTGCTATTCTAATGCTATGTTCTACCCTAGAGATTTTTAAAAGGTTGATAAAAGTTTGAAGTCTGATCTTAAAGCCAATAGACTTTAAAAATTATGAAGCCCATTTTACAGATGAACAAACTAATACGTAGGACAAAATGGCTCAGCTTGTTCCTGACATTCCCATGATCAAACTTGGCTATCCTGATACTCCATAAAATGCTTTTTCAATTACTTCAAAATTGTCAATACCAATATAATGTAAGTTACATGGTTATATTTTAAAAATAGAAGTGGGACAGAGAGGGGACCCAAACAGTAAAATTAAATGGATTATTTCTTCTGCTTACTTACTCTTTTTTTTTTTTAAGATTTCTTCAGTCATTTCAAAGATACCTAAAGCCGACTTCTATGTTCTGGAAAAAATAGGACTTTCAGTTCAGAACTCATCTCTGTTTCCTGTAGTGTTACATTTTCATATCATGGAAGCCATGTTCTATGCCTTACTAAATAAAACTTTTGCCCAGGATGGCCAGCATCATGTGCTGAGCATGAAAAGAAATGCAGTGGGGAGGCACTTTGAACTGATGATTAGTGACACACGAACTAGTGGGAAAGAAATAGTGAAGCGGCTCCTTGCAGAGTCTGTATTGAAGGAAGAGCCCCGGATATTCTTCCCATCAGATAAGATAGTCCGCTACAGACAAACGTTTGCGTCTACTGAAAAATACAGAGCAGAAGAGTTATATGATTCATTATTACAAGCTATTGCCTTCTATGAATTAGTTTTTGACAGTGAACCTTAAAATTTTGAGGTTAATATATGTTCTAATGTTACATTAATTTATTTGCTCAAGTTGTAAAACCATCTGCTTTGAACATGTTAATGGAGAAAACATGTTTAAATGTAGTTAGATGTTTACCATGTATACTAAATAAATACCATATATACTAAAGGATTTATATTACTATATTGTTAAAATAGAGAAAAATAATTTTTCTTGGTGGTGCTCATTGTAGCAATAAAGCTAAATATAATAGATAACACAACTTGTAGAATCCTCTTCTTTTTCTGTTAAGTAGAATGTGGTTTTAAGCACTGCCTTCAAAAGGCAGTTTCCATCATCTCAATTTATCAAGCCCAGAATAAACAAGCTTTGTCTAATAGGCTCATTTTTTTTTGTTGAAATATTTTACTTGGTAGCCATCTTTTGAGAAAAGTAGCACTTAGTTTTCCCCCCACATCTCCCCATTTTCCATTATATTTGCCTTAATTCAGGCCCTCATTTTATCTCACCTATACTGAACCTAAGTCTCTGATATCAAAGCATTAAGTCCTTTCTATAAAAGTGAAATATACTTCTTGGGAAAAAAATTCAAATAATCAGAAATACATAAAATAAGTGGAGGCCCTCCCTTCCAGCACCTCCAACTGCCTATGAATTTGGTATACACTCTAGACTTTGTTGTTATGCATGTGTAAATCTATGTTTACATACATGATTGTATATATAAACATGTCCACCTTGGAAATGCAGATAAACTATACATGGCTGAAATCATTCTTTCTTCTAAATCACCTCCTTTGCCATTGTTTTATACTTTGGTAAATAATTTTACCAACCATCCAGTTGTTACTGCTGCATACATAGCATTCTACCTCCCATACATTTATGGAAATAGTTCTAAGTAAAAATGTGTTCATTTAGACATTTATAGGATCAGATGCTGAGTATTGAAAAGCCATCAAAAGTTGGTTTTTAATCACAAAAGTGGATTTAAATGAACACAGTGAGAACTTTAACAAATATACAGAAAATATAAGAACATACCAAACGGCAGTCACAGACTCAAGAAAACAGTACAAAAAACACTAGAGTTCAAAAGCAGACTAGATGAAACAGAAGAATCAGCGAGCTGAAAGGGTAGTGGAACTCACCCAAATAGAGGAGAAACAAGAAAAAAGAATTTTAAAAAGTGAAGATAGCCATAAAGAAAGAAAGAAAATCCTACCATTTGCAACAACACGAATGGAGTTAAAAGGTACTATGCTCAGTGAAATAAGTCAGGCAGCGAAAGACAAAATACCAAATGATTTCCCTCATTTGTGGAATATAACAGCAAAGCAAAACTGAAGGAACAAAATAGCAGGAGACTAACAGACTCCAAGAAGGGACTAGTGGTTACCAAAGGGAAGGGGTCTGGGAGGTGTGTGGGGAGGGAGGGAGAAGGGGATTGTGGAGTATCATCATTGGTGCACATGGTGTGTGTGGGGTCACAGGGAAGACAGTGTAGCTCAGAGAAGACAAATAGGGACTCTGTGGCATCTTACTACACTGATGGACAGTGACTGCAATGGGACATGGGGGGGACTCGATAATAAGGGTGAATGTAATAACCAAATTGTTTTTCTTGTGAAACCTTCATAAGAGTGTATATCAATGATACCTTAATAAAAAAAAAAAGTGAAGATAGCTTAAGGGACCAGTAGGACAACATAAAGTGGGAATAATATTTGCATTACAGGGGTCTCAGAAGAAGAAACGGGCAGAAAACTTAAAGGAATAATGGCTGAAAACTCCCCTAATGTGAAGAAGGAAACAGACTCCAGATCCAGGAAGCTCAGAGAGTTCCAAAGAAGATGAACCAGAAACTCATACTAAGACATGTTACACTTAAAATGTCAAAATAAGGGGAATCTTGGAAGCAGCAAGAGAAAAACAGCTTACGAGGGAACTTCCATGAGACTAACAGTGTATTTCTCTAATGGAATGTTCTGCATATATTTATTAAGTCCACCTCATCTAATGTGTCACTTAAGGCCAATGTTTCTTTTTTGATTTTTATGTCTGGAGGATCTATCCATTGATGTAAGTAGGGTATTAAAATCCACTTGTAGAAACATTGCAGGTCAGAAGGGAGTGGCATGATATATTCAGTGCTGAAAGGAAAAAGCTTCCAACTGAGAATACTTTACTGGCAAAGTTATCATTTAGAATTAAAGGAAAGATTGAGTTTTCTAGATAAGTAAAAGCAAGAGGAATTAATCAACACTAACTGAGCCCTACAAGAAATGTTAAAGGAACTTCTTTAAGCTGAAAATAAAAGGCACTAATTAGTAATAAGAAAACATATCAAAGTAACAACTTTACTGGTAAAGGTAAATATATAGTAAAGAAGTGGGTTAATCATTTATAAAGCTAGTATGAAGATTAAAAGACAAAAGTATAAAAATATAAGGGATACACAAAATTAAAAAAAACCTAAACCTGTAAAATGTGAGATCAAAAACAAAATATGGAGGGGATAAAAATATAGCTTCAGAATGAAACTCAGAATCAAAATTTAATTTGCTATCAACTTAACATAGACCGTATATGCCATTATATAAGCCTTATTGTAACCCCAAAGCAAAAACCAATTATAAACATACAAGAGATAATGAAAAAGGAATCTATGCATAAAACTATAGAAAGTCAAAAAACGAGGGAAGAAATGAATAGAGAAGACTGCAGAACAACCAGAAAACAATGAACAAAACAGCATACCTATCAGTAATTACTTTAAATGTAAATGGACTAAATTCTCCAATCAAAATTTATCATATAGTGGCTGAGTGGAAAATAAAACAAGACCCATCTACATACTGGCTAAAAGAGACTCACTTCAGATACAAGGACATGCACAGACTAAAAATGAAGATGTAGAAAGATGCAGATGGAAACCAAAAGAAAGCTAGGATAGTTATATTAGACAAAACAGACTTTAAAACAATGACTGTAATAAAAGACAAGGTTAGGCATTTCATAATGATAAAGGGATCAATCCAACAAGAAGATACAACAATTGTAAATATTTATGTACTCAACATAGGGGATTCTAAATACATAAAGCAAATATTAATAGACCTAAAGGGAGAAATTGCCAGCAATACAGTAATACAAGTAGGGGATTTTAATACAGCACTTACATCAATGTATAGATTATTCAGACAGAAAATCAATTAAAAAATCAGCCTTAAATGATACATTAGATGAGAGGGACTTAATATGCAGAACATTTTATCAGAAAGTAGAATACAGATTCTTCTCAAATGCACACGGTGCATTCTCCAAGATAGATCATACACTAGGCCACAAAACAAGTCTCAATAAATTTTAAAAGACTGAAATCATATCAATTATCTTTTCTGACCCCAATGGTATAAAACTAGAAATCAATTATAAGAAAACTAGAAAATCCACAAGTATGTGGAGATTAAACATGCTTCTGAACAACTAGTGGCTCAATGAAGAAATCAACAAACATCGTAAGACAAATGAAAATGTAAATACAATATACCATAATCTATCAGATGCAGCAAAAGCAGTTCTAAGAACATTTATGGCAGTACAGGCCTATCTTAAGAAACAAGAAAAATCTCAATCTAATTTTACACCTAAAGTAAACAGAACAAGAACAAGTAGAGTCCAGAGTTAGTGGAAGGACAGAAATAATAAAAGTCAAAGTGGAAATAGTTGAAAGAGACTAAAGGACAAGAGAAAAGATCAATGAAATTAAGAGCTGGTTCTCTGAAATGATAAAATTGACAAACCTTTAGTGAGACTAAGAGAAAAAAGAGGGCTCTAATAAATAAAATCAGAAATGGAAAAGGAGAAATTACAACTGACACCAAAGAAATACAAAGGATTTTAAGAGACTACTATGAACAATTAATTATGTGACAACAAATTGAACAACTTCAAAACACACAATCTTCCATGACTGAATCATGAAGAAACAAAATCTGAACAAACTCATAACTAATAAGGAGGTTAAGTCAATAACCAAAAACCTCCCAAAAAACAAAAGTCCACGAACAGACAGCTTCACTGGTGAAGTCTACCAAACATTAAAAAAGGCTTAACAGTTATCCTTCTCAAATATTTCTAAAAAATTAAAGAGGGAATGCTTCCAAACTCATTTTTGAGACCAACATTATCCTGACACCAAAACCAGAGAACACCATCACACACACAAAAAGAAAATTACAGGCCAATATCCTTAATGAACATAGATGCAAAAATCCTTAAAAATATTAGCAAACCAAAATTCAACACATTAGAAGAATCATACCATGATCAAATGGGATTTATTACAGGGATGCAAGGATGGTTCAACATACCAAATCAATCACTGAGATTTGCCATATCAACAAAATGAAGGCCAAGAAACATCATCTCAATAGATGCAGAAAAAGGATTTGACAAAACTCAACACATATTTATGATAAAAATTCTCAACAAAATGGGTATAAATGCAATGTACCTCAACATAGTAAGGGTCATATGTGAGAAGCCCATAGCTAACATCATACTCAACAGTGAAAAGCTGGAAGCTTTTCTCTTAAGATCAAGAACAAGATAAGGATGACCATTCTACCAATTTTATTCAACACAGTATTGGAAGAACTACCCAGAGCAATTATGCCGGAAAAAGAAAAAAAGGCATCTAAATAGGAAAGAATGAAGTAAAACCATCAGTATTTGTGGACAACATGACTATACAGAAAATTCTAAAGACTCCATGAAAAACTGTTAAAACTGATAAATTCAGTGAAGTTGCATGGATAAAATCAATATATAAAATCTATTGTATTTTTCTACAGTAACAAGCTATCAGAAAGAGAAAATTAAGAAAAAGATCCCATTTACAACTGCATCAGAAGAATAAAATACCTAGGAATAAATTTAACAAAGGAGGTGAAAGACCTGTACACAGAAAACTGTAAGACACTGGAGAAAAACTGAAGATAGATGGAAAGACAGTCCATGCTCATAGAATGGAATGTTTTTTTAAATGTCCATACTACCCGGAGCAATACCACATACAAACTACAGATGGAATGCAATCTTTATCAAAATTCCAATGGCATTTTCCACAGAAATACAATAGAAAAACAATACTAAAATCTTTACAGAACCACAGAAGATCTCAAATAGCCAAAACAATCTTGAGAAAAAACAAAGCTGGAGGCATCATGCTCCCTGATTTCAAACTATATTACAAACCTATAGTAATCAAAACAGTATGGCACTGGCATAAAAACAGACATATAGGTTAATGGAACAGAACAGAGAGCCCGGAAATATATCCAAGCATATATGGTCAATTAGCTTATGACAAAGGAGGCAAGATATACAATGGGGAAAGGACGGTCTCTTCAATAAATAGTGTTGGGGAAAATGAACTGACACAAGAAAAAGAATGTAACTGGACCACTATGTCATACCATACACAAAAATTACCTCAAAATGGACTAAAAATACAAATGTAAGAGCAGAAACCACTGAACTCCTAGAGAAAAATATAGGCAGTAAACTTGTTCACATCATTCTTGGTGTACTTTTTGGGATCTAACACCAAAACCAAAGCAAAAATAAACAAATGG